TAAGAACTACTGTTGATGTACACAAAATCAAACTGCATTTAGCCCTTAAAGTTCAAAACAATTCAATATACCAATCGCAATTCAACAAACATGATTCAGGTAACAGATCACATAATAAAGATGATGAATTTGGAATTCTGTATACTTCAAACAACCACAGAATGCTACGCTATACGGAAGCCACGATAATAAACTGGGTTCAGTTCCGAAGTATGCCAACAAAATCGTGACATTGTGTTTGCCCTGGTGACAGTTACTTTTGAAAAGAAGTCAGTCTGGTGTTTCAGTTATAAGAATTCATTAATGTGATCCATTTTAATCAGTTGTTACTGCAGTATGCACCTGACGAGATAAAGTGAAACATGCCAGGAAATTAATTGTGCAATCTATTATTTGTCTTGGTAGCCGTTTAAAAAAAAATCCTGCTTCTTTTACCAAAATATTTTAGCTTCCGAGACAAGATGCTGTTTATTAGCCAACTTCCGAGACAAGATGCTGTTTATTAGCTACCTTCCGAGACAAGATGCTGTTTATTGGCCAACTTCTGAGACAAGATGTAGTTTATTGGCCAACTTCCGAGACAAGATGCTGTTTATTAGCCAACTTCCGAAACAAGATGCTGTTTATTAGCCAACTTCCGAGACAAGATGCTGTTTAATAGCCAACTTCCGAGACAAGATGCTGTTTAATAGCCAACTTCCGAGACAAGATGCTGTTTAATAGCCAACTTCCGAGACAAGATGCTGTTTAATAGCCAACTTCTGAGACAAGATGCTGTTTATTAGCCAACTTCCGAGACAAGATGCTGTTTATTAGCCAACTTCCGAGACAAGATGCTGTTTATTAGCCAACTTCCGAGACAAGAGGCTGTTTATTAGCCAACTTCCGAGACAAGATGCTGTTTAATAGCCAACTTCCGAGACAAGATGCTGTTTATTAGCCAACTTCCGAGACAAGATGCTGTTTAATAGCCAACTTCCGAGACAAGATGCTGTTTAATAGCCAACTTCCGAGACAAGATGCTGTTTATTAGCCAACTTCCGAGACAAGATGCTGTTTATTAGCCAACTTCCGAGACAAGATGTTGTTTATTAGCCAATCTTCCTTTATGTTCAGATCTGTTAAAATGTCAATATTTCTTCTCTTCTTTGTGCACTTACTGTGGGACCTTGTCCTACTGATAATACATCGTATTGAAAATCTTTCTATAGTATTTCAGTTCAAAAGCCCCTAGTTTCTGTCTGAAGGACTGGGAGATAGTCCACAACTTACATCCGTATGTTTCTACAGGAAAGATGCATGCTCTCAACATTTTGATTTTCTTGCTGGTGCTTCACCATATAGTAAAAAAAAAAATGAAATATAAGAAAACAATTTTTTCTGATCAGTGAAGGAAGTTTTCTAAAGAACTGGTTCCAGGACTCATTTGTTTAAGCACTGCCAGGGCAACAGGGTTGAGGATCATGCGGCCACAACTCAGAGTTAATATATGGTAAAAACAAAATCCATATATGCATCCAGGTTATCATCATCATCTGCTCTGCCAATAAACAGACATGATCATGGTTGATCACCTGAATCAAGGACCAGTTAACTGCGGCAAACTATCATAGTCGAGTCTCCATTTAGTCCCCTATGTCAAGTCTTCATATAGTCCCTATGTTTTCTTCATATAGTCCCATATGTCAAGTCTACATATAGTCCCCTATGTCAAGTCTACATAATGTCCTCTTTGTCAAGTCTACATAATGTCCTCTTTATCAAGTCTTCATGTAGTCTCCTATGTCAAGTCTTCATATAGTCCCCTGTTTGGAGTCTTCATGTAGTCCCCTATGTCAAGTCTTCATATAGTCCCCTGTTTGGAGTCTTCATGTAGCCTCCTATGTCAAGTCTTCATATAGTCCCCTGTTTGGAGTCTTCATGTAGTCTCCTATGTCAAGTCTTCATATAGTCCCCTGTTTGGAGTCTTCATGTAGTCTCCTATGTCAAGTCTTCATATAGTCCCCTGTTTGGAGTCTTCATATAGCCCCCTGTTTGGAGTCTTCATGTAGCCCCCTGTTTGGAGTCTTCATGTAGTCTCCTATGTCAAGTCTTCATATAGCCCCCTATGTTAAGACTTCATATACTCTATGTCAAGTCTTCATATACTCTATGTCAAGTCTTCATATAGTCCTCTATGTGGAGTCTTCATGTAGTCCTCTATGTGGAGTCTTCATATAGTCCTCTATGTGGAGTCTTCATGTAGTCCCATATGTGGATTTTTATGTAGTCCCATATGTGGGGTCTTCATGTAGTCCCATATGTGGAGTTTTCATGTAGTCCCATATGTGGAGTCTTCATGTAGTCCCATATGTGGAGTCTTCATATAGTTCCCTATGTGGAGTCTTCATATAGTTCCCTATGTGGAGTCTTCATATAGTCCCATATGTGGAGTCTTCATGTAGTCCCCTATGTGGAGTCTTCATGTAGTCCCATATGTGGAGTCTTCATGTAGTCCCATATGTGGAGTCTTCATGTAGTCCCATATGTGGAGTCTTCATATAGTTCCCTATGTGGAGTCTTCATATAGTTCCCTATGTGGAGTCTTCATATAGTCCCATATGTGGAGTCTTCATATAGTAACATATGTGGAGTCTTCATATAGTCCCCTATGTGGAATCTTCATATAGTTCACTATGTGGAATCTTCATGTAGTCCCCTATGTGGAATCTTCACGTAGTCCCCTATGTGGAGTCTTCATATAGTCCCCTATGTGGAGTCTTCATATAGTCCCCTATGTGGAGTCTTCATATAGTCCCCTATGTGGAGTCTTCATGTAGTCCCCTATGTGGAGTCTTCATGTAGTCCCCTATGTGGAGTCTTCATATAGTCCCCTTTGTGGAGTCTTCATGTAGTCCCCTATGTGGAGTCTTCATGTAGTCCCCTGTGTGGAGTCTTCATGTAGTCCCCTATGTGGAGTCTTCATGTAGTCCCCTATGTGGAGTCTTCATATAGTCCCCTATGTGGAGTCTTCATATAGTCCCCTATGTGGAGTCTTCATATAGTCCCCTATGTGGAGTCTTCATATAGTCCCCTATGTGGAATCTTCATGTAGTCCCCTATGTGGAGTCTTCATATAGTAACATATGTGGAGTCTTCATATAGTCCCCTATGTGGAGTCTTCATATAGTCCCCTATGTGAAGTCTTCATATAGTCCCCTATGTGGAGTCTTCATATAGTCCCCTATGTGGAGTCTTCATGTAGTCCCCTATGTGGAGTCTTCATATAGTCCCCTATGTGGAGTCTTCATGTAGTCCCCTATGTGGAATCTTCATGTAGTCCCCTATGTGGAATCTTCATATAGTCCCCTATGTGGAGTCTTCATATAGTCCCCTATGTGGAGTCTTCATGTAGTCCCCTATGTGGAATCTTCATGTAGTCCCCTATGTGGAGTCTTCATGTAGTCCCCTATGTGAAGTCTTCATATAGTCCCCCATGTGGAGTCTTCATATCGTCCCCCATGTGGAGTCTTCATGTAGTCCCCTATGTGGAGTCTTCATGTAGTCCCCTATGTGGAGTCTTCATGTAGTCCCCTATGTGGAGTCTTCATGTAGTTCCCTATGTGGAGTCTTCATGTAGTTCCCTATGTGGAGTCTTCATGTAGTCCCCTATGTGGAGTCTTCATGTAGTCCCCTGTGTGGAATCTTCATATAGTCCCCTGTGTGGAGTCTTCATATAGTCCCCTATGTGAAGTCTTCATACAGTCCCCTATGTGGAGTCTTCATATAGTCCCCCATGTGGAGTCTTCATATAGTCCCCTATGTGGAGTCTTCATATAGTCCCCTATGTGGAGTCTTCATATAGTCCCCTATGTGGAGTCTTCATATAGTCCCCTATGTGGAGTCTTCATATAGTCCCCTATGTGGAGTCTTCATATAGTCCCCTATGTGGGGGTCTTCATATAGTCCCCTATGTGGAGTCTTCATACAGTCCCATATGTGGAGTCTTCATATAGTCCCCTATGTGGAGTCTTCATATAGTCCCCTATGTGGAGTCTTCATATAGTCCCCTATGTGGAGTCTTCATATAGTCCCCTATGTGGAGTCTTCATATAGTCCCCTATGTGGAGTCTTCATATAGTCCCCTATGTGGAGTCTTCATGCAGTCCCCTATGTGGAGTCTTCATGCAGTCCCCTATGTGGAGTCTTCATGTGGTTCCCTATGTGGAGTCTTCATGTGGTTCCCTATGTGGAGTCTTCATGTGGTTCCCTATGTGGAGTCTTCGTGTGGTCCCCCATCTGGAGTCTTTATACAGTCCCCTATGTGGAGTCTTCATGTGGTTCCCTATGTGGAGTCTTCATACAGTCCCCTATGTGGAGTCTTTATATAGTCCTCTATGTGGAATCTTCATGTAATCCCCTATTTGGAATCTTCATGTCGTTCCCTATGTCAAGTCTTCATATAGTTCCCTATGTCGAGCCTTCATATAGTCCCCTATGTCGAGTAGGACAAGGGAGAAAAAACCCAGAGGGACACATATCTGTTGCCTTGTTGGCCTCATTGTACAGCTAAGTAATTTTGTGAATTCCTGTGGGCAACTGTAACACTTTTCGTTGGTGTCATATGCTGATGTAGCCTTTCTAGCCGAAACATCCATTCTGTCACAGCTTGATGGTCATTACTTACAGTTCTCGCCTGCACTGACATTTCCTCTAAGTCAAAGTGCATCTGTCTGAGAGGCAAGCAATCAACAGTCTACACATAAATAAACAAGATCTGTAAAACGAGTGTGCACACAAAACTCAAGTTAGGAAGAAGGCTCAATGTCTAGAAGTGGATGAACAACCAGACCATTCCGCCTGAGCTTACAGCTGGTGAAGTACCATACAGGTAGACTGGTTGTAATAAAGCAAACACGAAAATGAAATTAGTAAAACTGGACGCACTGAGCCACAAATGTTCCTCATTTTATCCAACAAGATTATATTTATTTCTATGACACACATTTTGAAACACTTACCATTTTTATCCTTATCGGTAACTTTATCCTTCTGTTGCTGCTGTTGCAGCATCGCGGTGTGAGACCGTAAAGTTCTGGTGGGTCGTTTTTCCCTGCCCTCATCTGATTTTTCCCCAGAACCATCTGTGTGATCTGCTCGCATGTCACTTTCACGAGATGCAGTTTCATCGGTGTCCAGATTTCGAGCCAATGTGCCCACGGCATCAGGCGGTTTGGAGGCCATTTCTGATGATGACACCCCGACCCCAGATCCAGCCCTGGAAACTGGTCGTGAATTTGAGTAATCCACCATTTCTTGCACTCCAGAGAGGGAGCTACTGGGTAGAGTTCTTTGACCTCCTTCTTCGGTCGCATCCCAGCTCTCGTTTTCCGTTGTGGGATTCAGGATGTACGGCAGAGCAGGCTTTGTCTGAGGCTTTGAAATATTTGCAGAAGGGCCACCGGCTTTCGGAGGTATGATAATTTTAAGCGGTGGAACTTTTGGCGTGGTGGGTCTGCTGCCCTGTTCTGACAGGGTAGGGTTTGAGTCATCCAAGTCCACTCTCAGAGGTGAATCACAGCTACTGGAGTCAGATTTCTCTTCCAAGTGAGAGACAGACATACGAGCCGTCTCCCATGGAAGATGAGGAGGTGGGACTAGTGCTGTGGAGGCCACAGAAGAGTGACTGCTGACAGCTGCTGCTCCCGATGCTGCCATAGCTCTATCGCTGAGACCCGTGACTATACTCCCTCCACCCTTAGCACCACGTGGTGGGTAGGGAGTGAAGAGAACAGAAGAAGAGATTGTTCCTGGCCGGGATTCTGGGAGATGTGAGGTACTGGAGGGGGTAGACATGGCTGAGCCCGACTGCAGCGGATGTGAAGGAAGTAACTGATGGTGTGATGGTAATCCTGGGCACAATGCCTGTGATGACGATGAAGTTGATGAGGGTAACGATGAAGATGACGAAACTAATGGAAACTGGCAGGATGAGCTATTATTAGTGTGATGAGACGATGAGGACATTGACGAAGACACGCCTGATTGTTCTGAACCAAAACTTGAGCTGGAAAGTGTCTGCACCATACTAGGTAGCTTCAATGAGTGCCGCACGCTGTGATATGTGCTAACTGTTGGGCCAGGAATGTGCTGATGCTGCTGATGATAATGATGCTGCTGCTGTAGTGACTGAAACGGCCGATGCTGCTGCTGCTGCTGCTGGGTTGGCAGTGGTGGCGGCAGCGGCTGCTGTTTAATAATTTCATTGGAGGTACCTAAATTTGAGCAGGAAGTATTGAAAGTGTTTGAGGTCTTGACGTTGCTGGCTGAAGCAGAAAACACATCACTGTGCTCTTCTTCATTATCACTGTTCCCAGGCTCTAATCCACGTGGGGTAAACGGCTCTGTGGCAATCCTCTCCAAGGGATTCGATGCCAGTGACAGAGGGAGTGAAACGGCAACAGTTGAATCTGGACATCCATCACTATCGACTGTTCCGGTACGCATGGTATGTACTCCTGAAGACTGACCACTCATCCGTGACCAACTGTCATCGGGTTTCAAAGGTCTGGCAGTTGTGGACAAGCCTGACCGAACAAACATAGTCCGAGAATTTGAATCTACTTCCGAACTCACATCGCAACCCGCCTCCACCGTGAGAACGTTCCACTCGGAGACTCTCTGCTGCTCATCTGTCGCCGACGACGAGGAAGCTGAAGATTTTTTGTGCTGAAGCTTGAGAAAGAGCCGAGGTGAGGCAGCCATCTTTTCCGGCGAAGGCGGTACAGACTGTCTGCGGATATTAAGAGTTCCAGCTGGCCCTATAACTGCAGGTGGAACTAATGAGGAGGATATTGCTGAGGATGTCATGATCTCCACTTTTCCGGGGAGACACTGCGGCTTGAAGTCTGCAACAGAAACAAAATGTAAAACAGAAGTACAGGCTAAATTAATTTCTAAAAACATGATTCTGACACTGCAGCTTGAAGTCTGCAACATTTTTTTTAAAATGTAACAAAGAAGTACAGGCTAAATGAATTTTTTTTTTTTTTTAAATGATTCTGACACTGCAGCTTAAAGCAACAGAAAAAAAAAATGTCAAACAGAAGTACAGACTAAATTAATTTTTATAAACATAATTCTGACACTGCAGCATGAAGTCTGCAAAATAAGAGAAAAAAATGTAATACAGAAGTACAGACTAAGTTAATTTTAAAAACATGATTCTGACACTGCAGCTTGAAGTCTGCAAGATAAAAAAAAAAAAAGTAAAACATAAGTACAGGCTACATTAATTTTTTTTTTAAACACGATTCTGACACTGCAGCTGTCCTAGTTAAAAAAGCAGTTTCTTTGATCGCTGTATCTGGGTTCTTTTTTAATAAGTCACCCCCAGATGATGTCACGGGAACAGTCCAATATTTTATAAGGTAGTAAGACCGGGTCTCCTCGCTCGGCTTTGTGTTGCTTTTAACTACCCAAAAACATCTAGAATTGGACTCAACCTCAACCCACCAATGCCCCACAAGAGACTGCAGCCTAGGTTCCACGACTGCAAGCAGCCTCTCTACCACCCACTGAAATATTGGACTGTCTGTTTGGGGTGAATAAAAACGAAAGCACCAAAAAAAAATGTAAAACAAAAAGTACAGGCTAAATTAAATTTAAAAAAAAAAGATTCCAAAACTGCTGCTGCCCTAGTAAAACAGGCAGTTGCTTCAATCGCTGCTGAATTTGTACTTCAGTTATAAAGGATTCACTTATTTGCTTTATTTACGTATTTGGTAGTGTAGTATGCACCTGGCAAGATACAGCCAAATATGCCAGGCAAACAACTGTGCAATCTATTGTTTATCTTCTTAGTTCCTTATAAAGGATTCACTTATTTGTTTCATTTATGTATTTGATACTGCGGTATGAACCTGGCGAGATACAGCCAAATATGCCAGGTAATCAACTGTGCAATCTGTTGTTGATCTTCTTTGTTCAAATTTTTAACGGAGAAAGATTGCTTTAAATTAATTTGGTCAAAATATTCAGTTCCTGGCTTTGACGTTGCTTTCTTTTAATCTACTGTCTGTCCATCATCATCATCATCATTCTCTGTTGCTGCTATAGGTCACATAGGGCTTAGTCTAAATACCCATTCTGTTGTTTCTGTAATAACTGTCAACAATATTTACAGTTCTGTAGCCTGGACACAAACAAGTTTGTCGCGCATCCTTTACTGCAACTTTGCAGAACCAATCCCAGCACTTGTTTTTTTGGGTTTACTAAACAATTTCATGTTTTTCAGTTTGCCACTGCTTCCTGAACAGTTGTCTCTTTATATCCCTGTCAAAATCCTGGGTGCCTCAAAATTATAAAACATGTTCACAACATCTTCTTCTTCCTATTCTTGTTCACCGGCTGTGAATTCCGGCGGTAAGTCGCGGTTGTTCGTCCAAAATGGACTTTTGGCTTTTACCTTGACCTGAGTTTTGCGTGTACATCCGTTTTACTGGCTTATTTGTTTGCAGTTCTCGTTCCCCGCCTCTCCGGCAGATGTACTCCTACTTCGGAGGAAGTTCACAACATCTATACGCTAAGCATTAAAATGTTCACTCACAGGATTGAGCGAGTACCAGGTGCAGTCATGGGAAGTAAAGGTGGCTGACATGATGCTGAACACATCATCCACCATGTGCCAATTGGTCTATAAAATAGAGGTCTAGCCCTATACGCCTAAAGGTGTAGAAACCGGTCCTTTACTCATCCTGTTACACCCGCAGGGAACACACACAAAAGCAGCCTGGAGAGAATGAGGCACCTGGATTTAACCAGAGGGTCTGGCCAGCCCACTACGCTCAGAGGAAAGGCAAGACGGACATGTAACAAGATTGCAAACGCTACCATCAGTATTAGAAATCAACGCTGGCTGCTGAAGGACTGAGCATGCATGGGAAAAGTCCTGAGTGCAGTAATGTCAATTCTTGATTCATTGATTCCTTCAAAAAATAACACACAAGCAGATACCCCGGAGTACCAAAGTGAATCTTAGAACTATTTTTTTGGCCAACACTATGCTATCAGTGCCAAACGTGGACACTTACTTCCTCCAATAAACGTAAACGTAAAATTGTGACAACAGGGATGAAATACCTTAGAAGAGCTGCAGGAGTTTCAAAGAAAGACAGACTTTGAAATCACGAAATCAGACAAATGCTAGGAATAAAGCCAGTCTAACAAGTCATCAAAGAACAACAAATAAAGTGGTTTGGGCACCTAACAAGAATGCCCTGGTACTATCTGCCACAGCGAGCCACACTAAAACATTACAACGGGTACAGAGCGAGGGGAAGACCTCAGAAAATATGGAGTGATGGCATTTAGAACAGCCTTACAGAAATGTATTAATCGTGCTCTTGACAAAGCTCATCATCGAATGTTACATCTCTCTCCGACACGTCGCTGAGGTACTAGGTGGAAGAGAAGAAGATTCACACACACACACAAGGCGTCCGTGGCTAAGACGTTGCGAGTCTGACTCGTAATTCCAATGCACTGCGATTGAAAGAAAGCCACTGCCAGCTGTGTAGATTTTTATCATGTTATGAGGCGTCACGGTTCGACCCAGCCTTAAATGGGTACCAGGATGGCTGTCCTGGGGAAGTAAAGACGGCCGGTGTAATGCTGACCACATTACCCACCCAGTGCCAATTGGCCTGTAAAAATATGGGACGCTCTTGCCATATGCCCGATGCGCCTAAGGCGTGAAAAGGGATATTTACTGTTTTTTACACACATACACACACAAGAAACACCTTATAGCGTTAAGTAGCAATGTGCACACACATACACACACACAAGAAACACCTTATGGCGTTAAGTAGCAACACACACACACACACAAGAAACACCTTATGGCGTTAAGTAGCAACACACACACACACACACACAAGAAACACCTTATGGCATTAAGTAGCAACACACCGAAGATTAAGTTAAGAAACCATTACCATCATCAATATTCACATGCTCGTCCTCCTTGCCCGAGGGATTACTATCTGATGACGAAGCCTCACTATGACTTTCGATATCGCTACAGGAGCCAGAGTTACCACGCAGGATTGTCTCAATCTCGCTGGTGGCTGCAACGTTGACGGCAGTTTTCCCTTTGATGTTGGGCTGGTGAGGGTTGGCACCATGTCGCAACAGAAGCTGGACCAGCTTAAACAGAGAATGACAACAGTGGCCGTCAGTGCTAGCATATGTCACTGACCCCCCCCCCCCACCCACTTGTTTAGCTAAAAAAAAAAAAGGTTCCATGTTCAACCATTGAGGTGCTTATAATGGCAAGTCTATTGTCGGCATCTGTGGCTTAGGCATTGCGAGCGCACTTTGTAATGTCGGGGTGCCGGGTTCAATCCCAGCTGCAGGCCCTGCACCTTGCATTGGTTTCGACAGTGGTATCGAGAAGCCGACTGCCAGAGAGCAATGGCAAACTGAAGTATGTAAATTTACCTAGAAAAACCACAACAGCCAAAAAATGCTGGGTTTGGTTCTTTAAAGGATATGCAGCTAACTAACTATTGGCTAGACATCAACCTGGCTGCTTCAAGATACGAAGATAAGTGATTGTTGTGTATTTGTGTAGCATTGTCTAATTTATGTATGTGCTGATGAAGGCCCTATAGCCGCAACTGTCACGTTTTGTTTGTGTTTGTTATATTGTGAAGCTCACTTTTTGTTCGGTTTTATTACGGCCTGGAGAGAAAGAGGCATCTGGGATTAACCAAAGGGTCTGGCCGGCTCACTACACTCAGAGGAAAGGCAAGCAGACATATAACCAGATTGGGACCAGTACCATCAGCACT